TATTGTGGGAGCATGGTTTGAGACAGGGCAGTGTTCCGTTCTGTGGTACACAACGATTGTGAGAGCATGCTGTGAGATAGGCAGTGTTTCGTTCTGTGGTACACAACGGTTGTGAGAGCATGCTGTGAGATAGGCAGTGTTCCGTTCCATGGTACACAAGGTCTTTATAAGTCAGGACTGGATCAATGGTATCTAACAACAACACCAACAATATGTATATATATATATATATGGAGAAAGAGAATAATGAATACAGTAAATGTGGCAAAATTTTTATATTAGGAGGATATAGGTAAAGGGTTACAGGGAAATTCTTTGTACAGTTTTGCAAGTCTTCTATAAGTCTGAAGTATTTCCAAATAAAAACGTAATTTTTAATAGAGTCTTATTTGTTGAGATGATGAGATTGTGGACAATCATCTTTAAAGTCTATAATCATTTAATGCCATTCTTTCCCCTAAAGTAATATTACTTTAAAAGAAGAAAAAGGAAAAGAAAACTCTTGGATTTTTCTCTCCACGTTCCCATCCCAGTGCAGGCCTAACCAGAGGCAACTATTATTTGTTGTAATCAATTCCAAATTGATCTCCTCCCCATCTGTCTCTCCCAGTACAATTCATCAAACCACGACTGACAGTTTACTCTATTGTTCCAGACTGTTCCTTCTTTCCCATAACCCATCCAAGTGACTTAAGCTCCTTTAGGCTTTGAAGTCTTCTAATAATCTGGTCCCAAATTGCTTCTTCCTTCTCCCCAGCACCAGACCAGAGTCTTGGCAGCTCACATATAGTTTTAAAAGTCAACAAGTCAAAGTAAAATTGGCTAGAGAAAAGGACTCTTCATACCAAGAAAATGTGTTCCTTTCAACAAACTCTCAAAATGTTTTCTATGAAATATCTTACTTAAAACTTCTCTGATTTTCTAGATTGACTCTCTGTGCCCACAAAGAGTTTCCATTCTCATTATTCCTGACAATTAATTTATTCCTCCAGTGCCATCTAAGACGTTGAAGACGGAAGGGCATTAGACTCAAATTTAATTCTAATTAGCAATGGTGTCCAAAACAGCTTCACAAACCAATCACCATGGAGGAGATTACAGACCACTGCGACCCTGTGTGAAGTCAGGGTAGAACTGAGCTCCACGGGGCGTTTCCATGGCTGTTTTTCAGAAGTAGATCACCAGAACTTTCTTCTGAAAAACCTCTGGGTGATTCTCATCTTCAGACTGTTAGCCATTTGTACCACCTGGAGACTCTACAACAGCTTTGTTGCACAGAAAATCATAGTTTGTTGTTGTTAAATGCCATTGAGTCAGTTCTGACTGGTAGTGACACACCCTGTATAGAATTTCCAAGGAGTGGCTGGTGAGTTTGAACCACCAACCTTGTGGTTAGCAGTCCAGTGCTTATCTCACAGCACCACACCAGGACTCTTAAAATCATATTGTTGTTGTTGTTAAGCATCGTCCAGTCAGTTCTGACTCGTTGTTGTTGGTAGGTGCCATCAAGTCAGTACAGACCCATAGCGACCTCATGCACAGATGAACGAAACACTGCCCAATCCTGGGCCAACCTCACTACTCTTGTTGCTATGCTTGAGTCCATCGATGCTGCCACTTGGCCAATCCATCTCGTTGGGGGTCTTCCTCTGTTTCTCTGACCCTCCACCTTACCAAACATGATATCCTTCTCCAGCGACTGCTCCTTCCTGACAATATGGCCAAAGTATGAGAGATGAAGTTTGGCCATCTTGGCCTCCAAGGATCACTCTGGCTGCACTTCTTCCAGAACAGATCTATTGGTTCTTTTGGCAGCCCATGGCACTTTCAGTATTCTCCTCCAACACCATAACTCAAAGGCATCAATTCTTCTACAGTCTTCCTTATTCACTGTCCAGCTTTCACATGCATATGAGGTTATTTAAAATACCATGGCTTGGGTCAGGCGCACCTTAGTCTGACTCATAGCAACCCTGTATAGGGTTTCTGAGGAGCAGCTGGTGGGTTTGAACTGCCAACCTTGTGGTTCAAAGTCCTGTGCTGATCCTACAACACCACACCAGGAGTCACATTAAGTATCATAAGATAAGTCTTCCTTCCGATGGATCTTTGTTCCTTGGAGCACATGAAGAATCTAAACAATCACCATGGGAAGACCATAGAACTCATCACCACTCACCCCTGCAGGCATACAGGACTTTCCCTCCACCACTCACCCCCACTCAGCCTTGAGTCCTTCTCAGAGCCTGCCTTCCTGAGGAGACTTCCCATAACCCCAGCCTACGTCCGTCTTGCCCACCATGCTACCTTGTTCTGCTCTTTCATTGTACAGCTCTTCTCTCCAACCAGATGATAAGTCCATTGAAGGCAGAATCTGGTCTTAATCTTCCATGTTTCTCAGTTCTCTTTGTACAAAGTTCAGAGCTAGCCACATAGCTTTCCAGCTATTTGAACAATGTTTTATTTCTTAAGCTAAGTGGTATCCACGATATTGTTCCTTAGGGTTGTTATTTTTTCATATGTGAAATATTTCACAACTTTTAAATGGGCAAATAACAACCACTGGGAGAATTCTCATCACATAACAGTATGTGGAAAGAAAAATCAAGAAGCAAAATTGGACATGCACTCTACTCCCAATTTCATAAAAAGGGAGCAAATTTTAAAAGATTAATCTTTTAAAAGACTACCAAATAATACACCAAAACTGTTAGAAGTCTGAGGTTGACTTTTATTGCCTTCTTTATACTCAACACTTTATTGTATTCTCCAAACTTTTTATAGAAAGTACATATTGGTTTTGAAATACTAATCAAATATTGCTTTTATTATTATTTTATTTATTTATTTATTTTTACATGCACTTATTCACCCTAGATACCAGGGTATGGGAGTCCTGATGTGGCACTGTAGGATAAGCACTAGACCTCAAGGTCAGTTTGAACTGCAAGGTCAGTAGTTTAAACTCACCAGCAGCTCCTCGGAAACTCTATACAGGATCAGTATGAGTCAGAACGGACTCAAAAGCACTTTGCAACAACAACCAGGATATGGTAAAATTTAGCCTGAGAACAAGATAGAAAAATGTATTCAGCTTTTACTGCAGGACATCCTTGCATTAGACCTTGGAGGAAATTGTTCAAGCAAATATGCCACATCAAATTCAGCCTGACAGGTCCAAGTTCAAATCCCAGCTTCATCCTTTCCTAAGAACTGACTTGCATCCCAATTTTCTTGTTTGTAAAAAATAATAAAAGTATCTTCCCTGCTTGCCTCATAGGGATCATTATAAGGGTAAAATGAAGCATGGTCCATGGATTGATGTCTGCAGGAGACACAGCTTGTCACACAAGATGCTAGGCACAGAGAGGGAAAAGGTACAGTTCCTGTTCTCAAGGAGCCTAGAGTTAAGGAGAAGACAGACAGCACTGTTAATGGATAATGCAGGACAGACCAATAGACACAAAAACAGACAACTATGCAGTATATAAAGAGAAACATGATTGACCCTTGTTGGGGGTCGGAATCCAAGTAGAAACAGTCACATTATCACTAAATAACTAGAAGAGATAACCTTTGTTTTTAAGCAACACAAATTATACTTCTAACAACCAATCAAACACCTGTCGGGCAACTTATGAACAACATGAAGGAGGAAAGATATTCCAGAGAGATGTTGGGCTTAGAGTAACTGACTTACTTAGAATTCTAGTGCCCACCCCCTTCCCAGCCAATGTCCACAGGGGAGAAGAGTGTGAGCCTCTTAGGCCCTGCTTAGAGGATTATTAAACCACAGATTCAGTATTGAGCACCTACCCTGGGCCAGGTGGTGTTCTAGGAGCTGGGGAGACAAGGGGGGACCAACCAGACAAGGCTACTGTTTTCCTGAAGTTTAACTCTTCACAGGAGATACCGGTCAGCCACTCAGCATGGTGGTCAACATGGTATAACCATTAAATGGTTGTGCTGGGTGGACTGGAGAGGGCTTGGGGGAAGTAATGCGAGTTCTCAGCTAGTTGAAGTGCTGTGGGGAAATATAGCATAAGGCAGACCTGTGACCGCAGCCATGAAACTGACATTCATGGAGTGCGTACAGTGTAAAGGCTTCATGTGTAAAAACTCATTTAATCCTCACAGCAATCCTATGGAGTGGATACTATTATCATTCCCATTTTACAGATGACGAAACTGAGACACAACTTAATGTAGTCACTTGTCCAAAGTAACACAAGTGGTAAAGCCAGGACTGGCAACTAATTGTGTTCAAGGAACTCTGGTAGCGTAGTGGTTAAGAATCGGGCTGCTATCCTCGAGGTCAGCAGTTTGAAACTACCAGCTGTTCAGCAGGAGAAAGATGAGGCTTTCTGCTCCCATAAAGATTTACAGCCTTGGAAACCCTGTACAGGGTCGCTATGAGTCAGAACTGACTCCATGACACACTACCAACACCACCATTGTGTTCAAGGACTCCTGGTGTGGAACTGTGGTATAAGCACTGGACTGTGAACCACAAGGTTAGCAGATCAAACCCACCAACTCATAGGATCACTATGAGTTGGAACTGATTCGATGGCACCTAACAACTGTCTGTTCAAGGACTCCTGGTGGTGTGGTACAATAGCTAAGCATTCATCTGCTAACCAGAAGGTTGGTGGTTGAATTCCACCAGCTGTTCTGCAGGAGAAAAGATCTCGTGATCTAGCCCCATGAAGATTAAGCCTAGGAACAGGGAAGTTCTACTCTGTCCTATTGCTTTGCTCTGAAGAGTCGACTTGACATCAACAATCTGTCTCTTCACATTAGTGGATGTCCTTGAAGTTTCTTTTGCAAATCAAAAACACTGGCATTTAGGGTGTTGGAGTTGTAACAAAATGACCACCATTCATAGGGAATTCCTGGCAATGCTGGATGAGTGTGTCTTTCTACAGAAGAGGTTGTGCCTGAAGACTTGACAGTGATTCCCTTGGGTGCTAATGAGTGGTTTCCCTTGTCTCTTTCAGCTCACAGCTCCACACTTCCCCGTGGTGGTCAAGCTGGGACATGCCCATGCTGGAATGGGAAAGGTAAGAGAAGCAACTCTTTCATGGGCCCACCCAGCATCCCCATGCTATCTGCCCCCCTTTCCCTTTATCTCCCTGTCACCCCCATTCTTAGTGCAGCCACCCAGAATAGTGGTAACCAGTTGTGGATGTATCTCCCTCCCCAAATTACCTTCCTCTGAGCTCCCAAAAGCTTGGAACATCTCTGCAGCTAATGCTATATTCGTCTAATACTACCTGGAATTGCTGGCCGATTGTTCCCCAGGATTGTGGTTGAAGAGAAATGAATGTGAGGTGTTTTTTGGGTGATGATGCTTTTGTTAGGGGTTGCTGTCACAATGACACTGTAATCTCACGTCTTACTCATCACTGGATATCACCTGCGGGGTTATCACCTACAGGGTGGCAAATACATATGACCCCATGGAAGACGTCCCTGGGGTCCGTCGGCTTCTGCAAAAGTAAAGAATATATTTTACACATTCATAGTGACATGACCCGACAAATGGTATCCGTTCATTGATTCCAGTTTTAAGAAGAGCATCAACTCAAATTAATTTAGGATGGAAAAAAGATAATGTATTGGCCTAAGCAATCAGAAAGGAGTTCTGATAGTGTAGTGGTTAGGAATCGGGCTATGAACCTTACGGTCAGCAGTTCGAAACTACCAGCGGCTCCCCAGGAGAAAGATGAAGCTTTCTGCTCCCCTAAAGATTTACAGCCTCGGAAACCCTGTACAGGGTCGCTATGGGTCGGAATCGACTCAACGACATTTAACAACAACAACAAACAATCAGGAAGTTTGTTCTAGATAGATTCAGTAGAGCTGGATTCAGTAGAGTAAGATGATGTTGTCAGAGCCTGGTCTCTGTATAGATCTCTTGACTGTGTTCCTTTCTGCTTGGTGTTGTCTTCTGACTATCAAGTGTAAACACCTAAATTCACTGCCTCCGAGGAAGAAACATTCTCTTTTAACAGCATCTTGATAGCTCATCTGATGGACTCATTAACCTTTCTTGTGTTAATGCTCACTCCTGTAACCAGGGGAGATGGATTTAGTCCCACTCAAACTATCAAGCCTAGGGTCCAAACAAGGAAGAGACCTACTCCTAGATAAGAGTCATGAGATTGTGGTTGAGTGTGGTGGGCTTCCATACTCCACCTTCCGAACCTCTGACTCAAACAGTAGCAAGTGAGAACACCTGTCACTCAATGCCTTCCAACCCCATTGGAGGTCTCTGAGCCCAGTGCAGTATATCTGAGGTAAAGGAAACCCTCACTTTGAGTAAGCATGGTCCAGCCATAAATCACAATTCTGCACCTGCCACCTCTATTCGTCCCTACCCTGTTATGCCTTTTGTATCCTGTCTTCCCACTTAAACTCAGGTAGCACCAAATGGAACAGGTCAGGGGATATAGGTCAGGGCTTGATCCACAACTCTGACATTTGTGCCAATGTGGGCAATTTGCTATCTAACCTCTCAGAGTTGTGACCTCCTTCTCTGTCAAATGGTGATCATTCTAACAATTGTCTCTATAATGAATCCTCACTTAGTACTCCATCTCCCTAGAAGGTACACATTGTGTGTGCAGGAACTTTTGCCTGTCTTTGCTTTGTTGTACCACATAGAATGGCCACGGGAATACAGCAAACAGTCTCTCAATGTGTTGGTTGGATGGAGGAATGAATGAAAGCATCATCCTTCTTTAGATACCACAAGCAAATGGCTCTTGTAGCAAATGGTCACCAACATCACAAGTTTAGTCTCTCAGTTCTGGGGGCCAGAAGTCATAAATCAGGATCACTAGCTTTCCTTAGAGCCCTGATGTAGCACTAGGCTAAGCACTGGACTGGTAGTCACAATGTTGACAGTTCAAACCCACCAGTCATTCTCGGAAACCCTACACAGGGTCGCTATGAGTTGGCACCTACTCAACGGCACACAACTACAACAACAAAGCCTTCCTTAGGCACCCTGGTAGTGCAATGGGTTAAGTATTGGTCTGCTAATAGCTAGGTCAGCAACTCAAACCCACCAGCCACACCAAGGGGAAAACATGAGGCTATTCTCACAAAGATGTGCAGCCTTGAAAAGCCTACAGAAGAGTTCTACTGTGTCCTTGTAGGGTCCTATGCATCAGGGTCAACTCAGTGATAGAGAGTTTGATTTGTTTTTTTTTAATTGTTGGTTAGCATCCCTTGACTTATAGCCACATCGCTCTGACCTCTGCTTCCATCTTCACATGGCCTCAACTGTGTGTGAAATCTCCACCTGCCTCTCTCTTTTAACAAGCAAGGAAAAAAACAGAAAGTGTTGCTACAAAACCATAGAAACTTTTCTTAAACAAAAATACCAAATGGGACGCTATTGTTTCTAGACCGATCCTCCATCTAGAGGTACACACTTCTGAAGGCAGGTTTCTCTCTCTCTCTCTAAGGATCAGCACTGGACTGTAAGCCACAGGGTCAGCAGTTCAAACCCACCAGCCGCTCCTTGGAAACACTATTCAGGGTTGCTATGAGTCAGAACTGACTCAGCACTTAACAACAACAAACAACCCTTCCCTGAAGAATTCCGAGTTTTCCCAATTTACACCACGTTGAAACGGCAGTTTGGACATCCTTGAGGGACCGAAATCATATTCCTCTGAAATGTTCTTTGCATTTGGGGAACAGAAAGAAATCTGAAGGGGTCAGATCAGGGCTGTACATAGATGGGGTAAGTTTGCCAACAAAATTCTCTAGGACAGCCTATACCACACTGAAGACATGAGCACCTACACTGTTGTAATGGAAACAAAATCCTTGGTACAACGTTACTGGCCTATTTCTCATAATGCAATCTTTTCTTTTCTTAAAATGTCTTAGGTCCCCATGTCTCTTGAGAAAATCTGCCAAGATGACTGATCCATTTGGAGTCACCAAAACCTTCTGAGTATAAGGACCTCTGGTGGTACAATGGCTAAGCATTCAGCTGCTAACCAGAAGGTTGGTGGTTGAATTCCACCAGCTGTTCTGCAGGAGAAAAGATCTCATGATCTAGCCCCATGAAGATTAAGCCTAGGAACAGGGAAATTCTACTCTGTCCTATTGCTTTACCTTGAATAGAATGTAGCTGGTCCAGCAGGTCCCCTCAAAAACCACTGTTTGATTGGACCTTTTTTTTTTTTTTTTTTTTTTTTTTTAAGGCAGGACAATGAACTAAATGTTCTAGTGTAGTACTGTCGGATACACACTGGCCTGCTAGCTGCAAGGTTGGCAGTTCAAATCCACCAGTCACTTTCAAAACCTCAATGCAGGGTCACTATGAGTCAGAACCAACACAACAACAGCAACGAGACTAAACCAAGTGTATTAAGGAGAGAACTTGTCTGCAGCCACCCACTGATCACAGAGACATGTTACACGCGTTTTGTTTGGAATAAACTCATGCATAAATCCTAGTAGTGATCCTTCCTTCTACTTATCCTAATAGCTGTGGTGCCACTGATTGATAATCCAAGATAACCTCCCCATCCCAAAGATTGCCAAAAGAACCAACAGATCTGTGTTGGAAGAAGTGCAGCCAGAGTACTCTCTGGAAACCAGGATATCAGACTTTGTCTCTCAGACTTTGGACCTATTATCAGGAGAGACCAGTCGCTGTGGAGGGTCAGAGAAAAAGAGGAAGACCCCCCAGTGTGATGGATAGGCACAATGACAGCAGCAATGGGCTCAGGTGTAGTAATGTTTGTGAGATTGCCCTGTGACCCAGAAGTGTTATGTTCTGTTGTGGATAAGGTCGCTCTGAGTCAATGCTGACTCCATGACACCTAACAACAACAATGGTTGAGCATTCTACATCCTACTGTTATTGTTGTTAAGTGCCATCAAGTCAGTTTCAACTCATAGCAATTCTGTATAGGGTTTCCAAGGAGTGACATCTGGGTTTGAATCATTGACTTTGCAGTTAGCAGTCCAGTGCTTATGCTACAGCACCATACCAGGACCGCTAGCATCTGTTTCTCCTCCCTGCTCACGCACTCCTCCACCTCCTATAACCGGACTCCAATCTTCTCCACTGCCCTGAGCTGTCCCCACTGGTACCAATGACACTGAATTCAGCGGACACTCTTCTGTCCATATCTGAATTGATCTCTGTGTGATTTCGAGTTGCTGATCTTCGGTCCTGACATCTCTGTGTCTCTCTACCCATGGTGATTTCGACTCCTGTGATAACTCAGAAGTCATTAGGTTTAAGACAGACCCTATCCTGGTGTGGCACTGTGGGATAAAGCTCTGGATCACAAGGTCTGTTTGAACCACAAGGTCGGCGGTTCAAATTCACCAGCCACTCCTCAGAAACCCTATACTGGGTCACTATGAGTCAGAACAGAGTGAATGACATGTAACAACCACTCCCCTGATAGGTTCTCAGTAACATAACAAAGAAATCTCCATTTCCAAATGGAATTTCATCCACAGGCATAGGGGTAAGGATTTCAATACATACTTTGGGGACACAGTCCATGAGATATGGAGAGCTTCTTAGAGAAAGTGGTCTGCAAGTGGCTGTAGTGATGAAGAGCAAGCCAGGGAGAAAAAAGAGAAGACAGCAAGAAAAATGAGTGTGGTTGATGTGTCTGAGAATCGAAGAACCATAGCAACCAAAAAGCACGCGAAGACAAGAAATGACCATGTTAGTGACCTAGGGCCTCAGTAACAATGTGCCACAAACTGGGCGCCTCAGAAGAACAGAGGTTGTCTCACAGTTCAGGCTGACAAATCCAGGTTGACAGCATGGCCAGACTCCCTCTCAAGGTTCAGGGGCAGGATCCTTCCTCATGTCTCAGGCTTTGCTAACCTCAAGCATTCCCTGGTTTGAAGCCAAGTGACTGTTTCCCCCTGCCTGTCTGTCTTTCTACGTCTCTTCTCATTTATCAGGATACTCCTGGTGGGCTGCGCTGGGATAAAGCACTAGACTGCAAGGTGTGTTTGAGCCACAAGGTCAGCAGTTCAAATCCACCAGCACTTCTTGGAAATC